CTTTGTTCTCTCCTTTTCCTCCTTCACTCCTTTGTTCTCTTTCTTTCTTTCCCTTCTTCTTTCCTTCTCTTTCTTTCCCTCTTTCCTCCTTCTGCGGCCCAACTCTAGTGAGAAGGGGTTTAAACATTAAATCCCTTCTCTCTTCGCTCCCCCCCCCGGCAGGCTGGCTGGGGAAGGGAAGTGGAGGCTTTTGAAGATGTCTCCCTCCCTTTTTGCTTCCCTGTCTGATACCACTTCCGGTGATGTCAGGGGCCATGGCATATGCTAATGTAGCTCATTAGCATAAGGTAGCATAAGGTATGCTCCTGCAGCTCTTTTTCTACAAAATGACCCCTGATCACTGGATAAGGCTGGAGAGCTCAGCATCAGACCACTAGCTAGAGTTTATTCAAAAACAGACAACAACTCCATTTGCAAGATCTGTTCCTACAATGAATCCTGCTGCCAGGAGTCAGGAAGTCTGAAGGCAACGGTCCAAAATGATGCTTTGCAACTGGATTTCACTGTGTGGAATGACAAGATCCATTTGCAAACCATCCCTACAGCGCATTGAAAGCAGACAGGAAGTGCATTCTCTAGCATCTGTGAAAGTGCCCAAAGTGAAAACAAGACTCCCCCCTCTTAAAAATGCCCAAACATTGCCTTCCTCTCCCTAACATGAAGTCTGCTGGGTGACTCTGGGCTGATCATTCTTTTAAAGCAGGGGTGTCAAACACATTTGTTATGAGGTCCGGATCTGACATAAATGAGACCTTGTTGGGTCGGGCCATGTGTGTCATAAAATATAATGCCAGGTAGCGGAGATATAAACTTTATAAAGGACACAAAACAAAAACATTTTTAACGTAAAATAAAAACATGCTTAAACCATTAGCTCTGTAAGCCGCAAACCTACTTTTGATTTAATGACATTCACCACAGAAATCTCATGCTCAGAGTTCTGAGTCTGGGACCCAAGTTAAAACATTAAATGGTTGAGTGATTAGGAGGGTCTGGCAAAGCAAGCTACGAACAAGTTAAAACATTATATGGTTGAGTGATTAAGAGGGTCTGGCAAAGCAAGCTACGATGCAGCACTGGAAGGAATTCAATTCAATTCAATCTAATTTATTGTGGCAGGAGCCAATAAAACAGTACAATTCTGATATAAAAGGGATTAAAACAGTAATAACATGGGAATAATATAAAAATGCCAAAAACGCAGAAAGTTTTACTTTCCTTTGAGTCCAGGAAGATTCCTACATTACTAATGCTGCAGAACTGGAAGCAGGAGACGGCCAGTTCCACTGTGGGCCTGATGGAAGCCCTCCGGGGGCCTGATCAGGCCCCTGGGCTGCATGTTTGACACCCCTGAAGCCTAGCCTACTTCACAAGGCTGATGTCTGGACAAAATGAGGGAGAACCATACTTGCTGCTCTGAGCTCCTTGGAGGAACGGCTCTAGAAATACCTCCTTATGCAGGAAATGAATATGCACTATGGGATAAGAACATAAGAACATAAGAGATGCCAATGTTGGATCAGGCCAAAGGCCCATCCAGTCCAACACTCTGTATCACACAGTGGCCAGAAATACCAGTGCCATCAGGAGGTCCACCAGTGGGGCCAGGACATTAGAAGCCATCCCACTGTTGACCCCCCCAAGCACCAAGATGACAGAGCATCACTTGCCCCAGAGCCCCTAGCTATACCTTGTGGCTAATAGCCACTGATGGACCTCTGCTCCATATGCTTATCTAATTCCCTTTTGAAGCCGTCCATGCTTGTAGCACCCACCACTTCCTGTGGCAGTGAATTCCAAGTGTTAATCACTCTTTGGGTGAAGAAGGACTTCCTTTTATCCGTTCTAACCCGACCGCTCAGCAATTTCATGGAGTGCCCACAAGGAGTTCTTGTATTGTGAGAAAGGGAGAAAAGTACCTCTTTCTCTACCTGCTCTTTCCCATGCATAATCTTATAAACCTGAAAAGGTCAGAGCATTACTCTAGAGTTGAGGAAGCGTGTTACCCAGGGGTCATTTCATAGAAAAAGAGGTGCAGGAGCTCATAAGCATAAAACTCATTAGCATATGCCACACCCCCTGACATCACCGGAGGTGTGCCAGAAGGGGACGCAAAAAAGGGGGGGAGGCCTCTTCAAAAGCCTCCCCTCCCCTTCCCCAGCAGGCCTGCCAAGGCGGTGGTGTGGGGGGAAGCGAAGAGAGTCGCAATCTTCCCATATTTACCCCCCCCCCCCCGGTCTCTCCACAAAAGCGTAGAAGCTCACGGGGAAAGGGGGGAATGTCTCCCCGCCTCCCCGTCTTTCTCCAGCCAGGAAGGGGAGTCGGGGAGACATGCCCGGCTTCCCTGCCCAATCTCCAGGTGCCCCACGGCTGTGAAGGCAGTAGGGCTGGGAAGCCAGGCATTTAATTCCCCCCCTGGGGGGGACGGGGCCTGGGCTCGTTTTTGCCGGAGCGGTGCTCCGGTAGGAAACGACCCCTGGCGTTACCTAAACACTTCAGGTTCTAATGGTTCTTATCACCGCGAAGTCTCTGCAAGTGGCAACTGTAGCCAAGCAAGTTCCGAGCATACAAATGGCTTTTGAAAACTCAGAATAAAATACACCTTTCTAGATTTGCTGCCTTTTAGCTGTAGACATGACCAGTGTTCCCTCTAAGCTGAGTTAGTGTGAGCCAGCTTACAGTTTTTTTAGCCTCCGGCCCACACATTTTCATATTCGCTCAGGAAGGAGGGCTCCAGAGCAAACTGATTTAGGCAGCAGCCAAACCGCTCACTCACAACTTTCATGCCAGTAGAACAGAAGAAGAAGAGAAGAAGAGATTGGATTTATACCCCATGGCCCTTCACTACCCAAGGGAGTCTCAGAGCGGCTTACAAACCCCTTTCCCTTCTCCTCCCCACAACAGACACCCTGGGAGGCAGGTGGGGCTGAGAGAGCTCTGACAGAAACTGCTCTTTTTCAAGGACAGCT